CCATGGAAAATATACCTGTTTTCTAGGAACTGCACAGAAAAATGTCTCCATGTTCTCTTCACTTAAAAGCCTGGGTAAATCCAGGCTCATAATCATGACACCCAAGAATTTACCGCCAGAGTGAACACATCAAACTCCAACACACAGGGACTCAAGGACACAAACTGCACACACTCCCTCACACCCATGCTTGGGACCACCTTCCTGCTGCAATATATGTTAGAAATAATTGATGCTATAAAAGAATGTATTTTATAAAGATTGCAAAATCCAAATAAGTCTCAGACCACAAGCAGCCAGAGGGGCGGACGTCTATTCAAATTCTGAAGTTCCTGAAGGTGGCAGGAGAACAATCGGCAGTTAGCTCATGAATAGACGCACCCAGCGTGATGATCACTGTTATCCCTCCCGAGCCATCCCCTAAGAGCGATCATCTCATCGATCATTGCCCTGTTGATAACATTGATCAAGATAGCCAAAGTCGCCAGAAAGATGCATGTGAATATGCGACTTCTTGGATTTGATCAATGCTGGCTGTCGACCAGGAAACGGTGATTGTCCAGCTCTGCAAAGTGAAAGAACCAACTATGAAAAGTTACAAAAGAAACTTGGACTCCTTTGCCTCAGGCATAATAAACTGTATAAAATATCCCCGCAAGAAGCGGCTCTCGTGATCGAGGGGGAGTCCGATGCGATAGAGGTGAGATCCAGGTTCACCGAGCGCCGATCCGAGGCTTGATGCTGTCTCTTTGGCTGTGGTGGTTTTGAGGATCGTATTTTGGTGACAGAAAAAGATAAATCTTTTTGCATTTTTGATAATTTGGCTTTCGATTGATCATTTATAACACTGCTGAGCTGAGGACAAGAAGCGACCAGAATAGCCCGGGCACTCCAGCTTCACTGCAAGGCATCCGGCAGCCTTGAAGGTACAAAGCGAGCACAGGTCGGAGCTCCTCGTGTCTGGAGCGAGGCCGGAGGAGCCCCCACCGCAGAGCTGACACGGCCCCGGCCCGGCCCCGCTGCGCTCCGAGCGCGGCCCCAGAGCGGCCCGGCCGAGGCGGTGAGGGACGGGCGGTGAGGGGCCGGGGGATGGGGCGCTCTGGGAATGGGCGGAGATCCCGGCAGAGGGGAGAGAGACCTGGCAGAGGGAGGAGTGAGCAGGAGAGCAGAGAGATGCTGGGAGGAGGGGGAAATCCCAAGAGAGGGGAACGAGCCTGGGAGTAGGGGAGATCACAGGAGAGGGGGGGTGAGATCCCTGGGAAAGGGTGGGTTGCCTTCCAAGAGGGTAGAGCCGGGGAAAGAGGAGAGAGCCTTGGGAGAGGGGGGAGATCCTGGAAGAGGGAGGAGTAATCGGGAGAAGGGCAGATCCAGGGAGACGAATAAAAGCACTGGCTACAGCCTGGGAAAGGGAGGAGCTTGGGACAAGGGGTAGCTCGGGACTGGGGAAAACCCGAGAGAGGAGGGAGAACCCAGGAGATGGGGGAGAACCTGAGAACAGGGGGGAGATCCGGAGTAGAGTGGAGAGGGACAGGGAAAGGGGGGAAAGACGTGGGAGAAGAGAGCCCAGCGGCGAGAGTTCGGGAGAGGAGGCTCCTGCAGGCGGACCGGGAAGCCGGAGAGCCCGGAATCAGGGAGTCCTGCAGCCGGGCCGAGAATGGGCGCGGGTCAGTGCGGTTCGGGAGAGCGCGGCTGCGGGGCTGGCTCCGGAGCCGCAGGCGCGTGGAAAGCGCTGCTCGGCAGCCCCGGCGGCGCTGAGAGCACAGCCCTGCCCGGGGAGGCAGCGCCACGGGCGCCGCTCGGCTTCCCAGCGAGGCCTCGGCACCGCTCGCCTTCGCCGCCGTATCCGCGGCAGCTCGGAGCATCGGTCCCTGCCCGGGCCCGAGGCTCACCTGCGCCAGGTGCACCAGAGCCTCGCCTCTGCCTTGACAAGCCACAAGGAGCAGTGCCGGGCAGGGACTGCAGATCCCCATTGGTGGCAGAGAAAAAAGAGCAAGGAATCTTCTGTGGGAGAATATAGGCAATAGGATGAGGTGTCACTGTCAAATGTGTTCAGGTGCACTCACAAGGATACTGTTGATTGCTCTTGGCTCAACTTGCTCTTAGTTTTTCAGAACATGGAAAAGAAGTGGGCAGACACAAATCACAAGCTGGTTGCAATGTCCAGGCACCAGTTATCTTGATAAAATGCTACACAACTGCTGGAAAGCTGGATGCATGACTAATTAGCACTTGCTAATTAATCTGGACTTGTTAGGGGCAGCATAGTTATCTCCCAAAAGATACTAAGGAGTCATGATTGAGAAAATTCTGAAGAAAGGCTCATACAGCCACTTTTAAATGTAGTTATTGTGGGTTTGATCAATGGAATCTGCTTTTATGCCATGATTCTCCTGAAGGTTTGTGTTGTAGGGTTTTTTTGCATGAAGGCATGCATGCAAAATTTGGGGATCTAAGATAAAATCCTTTTCTAAGGGATATGGAAGAGACTAACCTTGGGTAAGCAATATGTCAGCTAGAGACAGCCAAGCCATTAGTACTGAGAGGAAGAACAGCCCTGCAACACAGGTGTGAGCCCTGGCTGATATTCAGTAGAAGCAGAACTTAGGCAGGATCGGTTAGAAGGTCCTGGAGAGAGAAGGGTCTAATCCTTTGGTGCAGTATTGTATGGACTTTGGGATCACTACTCCATTCCAAATGGCTTTCCCTTCAGTCACAAGAGGCTTCCATCTCTTCCAAAAATTGCCTGCTGAAACTTTTCTGTTCCCTTCCAAATCAGTTCATTACTCCAGCATAACCCTTGAAGCACGGACAGATGACTCTTCAACTAATTATAGTAGAAAAGAACTATAATTATAGTAGAAAAGAAGGGTATTTATTGCAGCACTGGACACATATGAAGAAGTTTCCAATGACACGTGCACGGAGTTGCAGACTCCTGCTCTCTATTTCTACAGAAAAGGTTTTACATTAGGTTTCTAAGGATCCATAATACATAATTATTACCTGCCACTTCGTATTTTTATCAGCTGAATATCTATTACAGCTGCACAATTGTACTCCCTTAACTGGGTCTGTAGAATTTTGAAATGAGGGAGTGGTTGTATGGGAGGAAGAAAGCCATCTTCCTCATGGTGAACTCTTCTCCCATGGCCAGTTGGTAAGACCTTTTGACCTGTTGGTCATGGTCCAAGCCTCTCCTAACTGTTCAATTATTCTTAAAGCGAGGTATTTCTATGGTCTCTGCTTCTTCACAATTGCTTCTTCTATCCCCATCACTCCTAGCTTTATGTTCCTAATATATGTGGTACTCTTTAACTAAGGTGCGTGATTTCTGCTATATTACTAACTTAGCTTCCTACCTCATTTTAAAATCTTAATTAAAATATGCAATCTTCTGCTATCCCAATTCTATTCCCAGCTGGCCCCTCAACTCAGCTGCACTTTTCAATTATCCTAATTACATTTTCAGCTAAGCCCTTGACTCACCTCAGGCACATCCCCGACTCCCTCTCTCCCAGCAGCTCAGAGCAGCACTGCACAGCACTTGCTGTGCGCCAGAGAGCACAAAGCAGGCTGGCCTGGTGGGCCTGAATATTTCTGCCAAACACTCTGCATCTCACACCTTTGCTCTGGCTGAGTGCAGAACTGCAGGATTGCAGGTGCTTCCTGCCAGAGCTGTGTGAGGCGCTGGCTCCTGCAGACGTGCCCTGCCAAGCTGTCCCTGCCTCACGCTGGCCTCGCTTCCCCTGACAGAAGTGCCGGGCCTGAAGGAGGCTGCCCTGTGCTCCAGCCTGCCGAGCAGCCCGGCTCCCTGCCCCGGTGCCCAGAGTGCTGCACACACTGCTGACCTTGGCCAGGAGTTGCAGGGCAGCCGGCAGAAGAGGAGGAATCCTCAGCCAGCCCAGCGGCTCTCGGCTGCCCTTGGCCTTTCTCTGCTCCTGGGCACACTCCAGACGGCCAATGCCTCCAGGCTGGGCTGTGCCCAGCACGGCTGCGCTTCCCCTCGGCAGCAGCCAGCTGCCACCTGGGCTCTGAGAGCGCAGGATTCGCCCGCTCCCAGGAACAGGCACCCAGGGCCCGGCTGCTGCCTCTGGCAGCTCCAAGGGCCTCCTTCCAGCCTGCCTCTGCCGGGGCTCAGCCTGCTCCCGCCTCTGCCTGGGCTCTGCTGGGGCTCCAGCCCGGCCAAGGCCGGGCCCGCTCTCACCTCACAGGCGCTCACAGCTCTGCACCACAGGAGACCTTGCTGAGCACCCTCTCTGATCTTTCTGCTTTCTCACTTGAGCAAGGCTCTCCTTCTGCCAAAGAGATTGCATTTAGGGATCCAAATCCAAGTGGCAGGAGCCCAAATGCTCCCAAGCCACAGCTCAATGCCTGCATCTGCACAGGATGTCTTTGCTGCCCCATTCCTTTGGTTTTTCCTGCAAATGCCATTGTCCTTTCTGCCTTAACTAGAAATACCACAGCTGTGCCAAAACCAGCCAGTGGGCTGTGGTGGTGTTCACAGGACCACAGAAGAGATGAGAATCTGACTCCATGTTTCTGAAGGCTGATTTATTATTATTTTATGATATATATTATATTAAAACTATACTAAAAGAGTAGAAGAAAGGATTTCATCAGAAGGCTTGCAAGCAAAGGAAAAAGAATGGAATGATAAGGGGTCAGAAGGAGGGGAATCTTCCAAATGCGTTGATGTTTCAGAAACTTTATTTAATTACCATCCTAATCTATAATCCTATTCTACAAAACTCTTCAACAATCCTATTCTAGAATCCTACTCTACAATCCTACTCTACAAAACTCTTCAACAATCCTACTCTACAATCCTACTCTACAATCCTATTCTACAAAACTCTTCAACAATCCTACTCTACAATCCTACTCTACAATCCTATTCTACAAAACTCTTCAACAATCCTACTCTACAATCCTACTCTACAATCCTACTCAAACTTGGCTATGAAGATAACATCTTGACACGATTGATAGGTTCTCGTCTCCTACTTCCTCTTCTTGACTGAGTTGATGAGTAGTGCCAGGCTGGACGCTGGCTTGGCTGAACGTACAAATGGATGCTGTCCACGGGAAAAAAAAACAACAAAACAACAAAGAACAGTGAACCATGACTTTCCAAGCTCAGTGCTTCACAGCCTCAATCATGATTCCTCTAGTTCCTAGAAAGACCCAGAAAGGAGAAGAATGGGACCATCTCCTCCCCAATTGTCATGTGCAGGAACTTGCCATCATAGGCAAAGGTGGCCCAGAATCCCACTCATTGGTTTATTGTGATATCTTCATTCTTGCTGGGATTTTTGCCCTGCCAGTGCTCTAGAAATGGTGCTTCCTGTCCCTGGTGTTTCTTCCTTACAGGAAACTCCAATGACTCACATAGGTCCCTGCCTTTGCAAGACAGGCACTGTGCTGATTCCCACAGGGAGACAGAGCAGTGTCTACCTTTCCACGCCCTGCCCCTCGTGTGCTGGATGGCACCTTCCTTCCCAGCAGGGCCAGCCCAGTGGCACTGGGCCCTGCAGTTCCCTCTCTGCCACACAACCTGGCAGTAACCCTGGCACAGTTCCCGTCTGCTTGGGCGTGCCAGGCAGCAGATGGGGCTGGGACAAGTCCCTCTCAGCTGTCCCTGTTTGTATGCCAGAAACCTCTAAGGGTGGGCTGGGGGGCACAAACCAGGGCCCCTCAGAGGCTCCCAGTGAGCCCCCCAAAGCCCCTCCTCCCCACAGTCAATTCTCAGGAAATGCAGAGAGAAGTGGAATTATTCAATTTAGTGAACAACAGGCCCCAGGGGGACTTTATTGCCACTTTCCAAGACTTCAGAGTGGTTTTGAAGAAAGTGGTGGATAGCTTTTTTTACTGGGCCACTTAGAATAGGAGGCGGGCGAATATTTTTAAACACAAAGGAGATCTAATCAGAGTAGGTCTAAGGAAGAACTTGTTTACTTGGAGCATGGTGCAACCCTGGCACAGCTTGCCCCAAGAGCTTGTAGGTGCCCCATCCCTGGAGCCATTCCAGGTCAAGTGGCAAAGGGCTCTGAGCAACCTGATCTCTTTAAAGATGTCCCTGCTCATTGCAGCACACTTGCACCACAGGACATTTACAGGGCCCTGCCAGCCCAGCCCAGTCTAGGATTCCTCACCTTTTCACTTGAAGAGCTCCAAGAGTGGAGGTGAGGAGGAAGGGGGCTCATCTGATGCCTTGAACTTGAGTGGAGGAGGAGCCCATCCCTCAGAGCCTGTTTCACCTGCAGCCCCTTCACATTTTACCTTCAGGAGCTCCTTGGCCGACCAGCGCTGCTCCTCATCTGTCTGCAGGCAGCAGCTCAGGAAGTCACACAGGCAAGGCGAGAGGTGCTTGGCCTGTCGCAGCTTTGGGGTCCCTACTGTGGCTATCAGGCATTTAGCCTGGATAAAAAAAAAAACCACGAGGCTCCACCTGCTGCTTTCACATCTCTAAGTGCTCTCCCACATCCTTTGTTTAACCTCTGTTCTTCACTGGTAGTTTCTGCCCTGGCAGAGACCTAGAGATGATTTTCCTTTTCCAACCAAAAACCCAAACCCTGATGCAGCCACAGCTTTTCCACCATCCCGCAGATCTTGCCTTGGCAGCTGATTTGATTGACTGACCTAGTTAGTGGGAAGTACATCAGCAAAAGCACATTTGCTTCTCTGAGGATTCACACCAGCTTGAGAGGCTTTTTGGAAGAGGGACTTTGCTATACTAATTAATTTCAAGGGTTAGTACATGAAAGGCATCTCTGCAGTGCTTGTTGGTCCCTTAAGCACAGATGCCATAGAACAAAACTCATCAAGCTTTTTGTGCTGTTCTTGAAAACAATGGGAATTGGAAGAAAAGAAAGGAAATCCACCACATATTCCTCAGGTTAGGAAACAAACATTTACAATCTCATCTTCAACACAGACACATTAAGATGCCTGCACAAATGTACTGGGATGAAAATGCCTGCTTGGCCACACAGGAGCCACCTGCAGCTCTGTCTCTCAGCAGTCTGAAAATTTCAGCTTCCCATTTTTCAGCAAAAGAAAATTGTCATGGTCAGAAGGAGCAGAGGTGCCATCCCTATGGTCACCCTCTGCTCATTTGGCTACTCAAGTCAATGCATTAATGGTAGGCCCATCCCAGAAAGTGCCAGGAAACACTGGGAGGTTTTGGCAGGCTCTCCACATCACCAGGTTCTGGCTTGGTTACACAGAGAATGTGCCTTGGGCTAGGAGAGAAACACGGTCACTGAGTGTTTCAGCAGCACTGCACAAGAAGCAGAAGAGACTCTGTGTCCTTTACACCCTCATGCCCAGGTTTCAGGCATGTTTCCCAGTGAGTAGAAACTGCACGGTGCATTAGGCTCCTTTCTAAAAATCACAGTTTTAGAAACTTTGTTGGATTTGGGTTTCTTTCCTTCATTTATGGAAAGATAACAGCAGTTCTAAGGTGCTTGTTTCCTGTTACTGGGGCCATCTCCACAGAAAAAAGAACTGGAACCACTAATAACCCAAAGGAAAATGTTGCCTGAGAATGGAGTTTGTTTGCATATGGTAAGGCTTGAGTTCAACCACTGATGTATCCAAATCTACAGCAGATGCTGATGTGTTGCAGGGACATTTTGAGGAGGGGACCTTGGTGGAAGTAGTTCCAGCAGATGGCAATGGGATTTTGTCCAATGTCCAACACAGGACATGGGACAGGTGAGAAAGACAGTGGGATCAGTGAGTATTTGCTCCTTACCGTGCAAGGACTTTGGTTGCAATAAGGAGGTTCTTGATCTACCATTTCAATCCCCACAATTCCAAAAGACCATACATCCACTTTGGGGCCATATGGTTGATCCTTCAACATTTCAGGCGCCATCCACCAAATAGTCCCGGCTATCACGCTCTTTCTATTCTTCTCAGGGGTGAGCTGAGTAGAGAGGCCAAAATCAGCTGAGGAGAAAGCAAAATACTGGTTTTATTTCAATTCTGTGCAATTAGGAAAGCAAGCAAAAGAATTCCCCAGTAGAAGTTTGAAAATGTGCTGTTGAATCTCCTGGCATTGGCAACTTAAAAAATCCCCCCATTTTTTACACTGCCTCCAGCAGTAGCTTTTGTTCTTTGGAAGCTTTAGACTTGTAACTCCCTCCCTCTGCAAGGGACACACACAGAACAAGGCCACCCTTGACTGCTTGTTCCTTGTCCTACCTCTGTGCACATTGCAACTGTGCCCTCAGCTCACAGCAGGTGTCCCTGCACTGCCACCAGCACCATTTTTGGGGAGCTGGCTGTCACTCCAAGCAGCCCCACAGCCACATCCCTGGAATGCTGCACCTGACCAAGAATATACTGACCCAGCTTGACAGAACCGTCGGTTCTGAGAAGGATGTTGTCGCTCTTCACATCTCGGTGGATCACGTGGTTTGAATGAAGAAAATCCAGTCCTTGAAGGCACTGAGAAAGAAAACAGGAAAAGGGGGACAAAAATGAGTGATGGGATTTCATCACACCAGAAAGGAAACAAAGAATCTAAAAGTTTCCCTCTCCAGGGGAATGGGGAGTAATGGCAGAACACAGTGCCACTGAGAGGAAGAGCTTGCTGCTCCAACACTTGCAGAGCAGGTCCTTTCTGAGGAAAGGCACGTCAGCTTTTGAAAGAGCAACAGCACCTGCTGTTGTAGGCTGTCCCCTGCAAACCAGCCAGAATGACTACTGCTGCAGTGCATGTGCTCAGAAGCAAAGAGCATTCGGGTTGCACTCCTGTCCTTTTTAGCTGAGGACTGAGAGAAATGAGTCTCTCTTTTTTTCTTTGCTGTTTGTTTCAAATCCTGCCACCAGCACCTTTGCTTTCACAGGCAAGGAATGCAGTGAAGACAGGCAAAAGTTTAGCGAGGCAAGATGGAGAACAGCAAATACAAGAGACAGAGCGAGAGTACAACAGCAGGAGATAAGAGTACAGGCACTGAGTACAGGGAGTGCAGGGGCACTGGCAGGCCTTTCACTTGAGGTGCTTTTACTTGCCCATAGCATACCAGCAACACAGAAACAAAGCTTGGAACAGGAAATGCCTCCTGATCTGAACCCCCGTTCCCCAGACAATCTTGCCCAAGCCCTTGGAAGCACAGATGGGATTGCTGACCTCCCGACTGATGGCTGCCATTTCGACTTCAGACAGGTAGGTCTTGCTGATGACGTCACTCAGGGCGCCTCCATCCATGTACTCCATAACCAGCCAGAGTTCCTCGCCCAGAAGGTAGCTGAAAGAAGGAAACAAGGGCATGGAGATAAACATGCATGGCTAGCTTGACTTTTTGCCTCCAGGTTTCTTGTTTCCAGGTGCCTTTGTGACAAGGGCAGAATCAAAGGAATAAACAATCTGCAATCTGTGCAGTCTGGAGGAGAAAGGCACAGCTGTGAAAAAGAAGATGTCTTAGATGGCCAGCAAGTGAAAAATGCAGTTTAGTAACAGCCCAGGTAAAAACCTGTCAGGCATGGTGTTTCTGGAAATAAGCACCTCGTCTTCCTGGCATGCACAGCAATGGCAAAGAGGGGCAACGTAACAATCCAGGGGAAAATCACTTTAGGATGGCTCACCGGCATTTAAGAAACTTTAGAAAATCTAGGCAAAAAAAATGTGGAGGCAGTGTACTTTGAGGCTATTGACTTAGGAAGATACAGCTGATCCTGGTTTTGAATAATTTTGGAATAATTTTCAAACTAGGTGTGCCAGGGAAGACTCATGCAGACAAGATGCACTCCCTTCTCATCCATTGGAGATGAATGGAGAAATATGAATAAATAAAAATTAACAGCTCTACTTCCTGCCACTGACCAAAGTGGGTTTTTACCTCTCATGTTTGCTGTATGTAAATGCCCATTGATGGGATAAGAGGAAGACGTCTCACCTGTCTAAATAATTCACAACATTGGGACTCCTATACCTCTTCATGATCATGATTTCATTAATGGTTAGTTGCTTCTTCCTCAGTCCTTGGAGATTTATTTTCTTTATGGCCACCTAAAATGACATTGAAAATCAGTAACTCGAGAAGTTGGTGGCACGAGACCACAACGCACATGGAGCAAGTGATTTTGCAATGACACAGCTGAGCTGTGCCAAACTGCCTTGTGATGAGGCACTGCAGTCATGAGGAACTGACATTCCAACAGCCCATTTCTCTGCTCCTTTGGGGGCCAGTTACAGCACACGTGGGGCCACTGACATTTTGCCTTGACCACTTGGTAACAGTGGTGTCTCAGCTATCACCGGCAAACCTCTGACCACACTCTCTGCTGCTTTGTTTGGGATTCAGAAGAAGTAATCCATGCCTTAATACTTGGTGGATACATCTTGGCCTATGGGCAGGGCTTAGGGCTTTTAGGGACACCTTGCAGATCTCTCCCTCCGTGCAGTTCCCAAGTGCTGCACTGCAGGTGGCTAAGGAACTACCAGGAACTTTCAGATGTATTTGCTGGCAGCCAGAAATGAGAATTCAGGACTCTGAAGCTGTAGCCCCAAAGAGCAGTGAGGTGCTCAAAGGCACCACCTTTGTTTTAGCAATGGAGAGCGAGTGAGCGCGTCCTTCTCTGAAAGGAACCGCTGCCCTCCGTGCCTTCCTTCCGGCAGCTGAGGAGGACAAAGTCCCAAAAGTATTTTGCAGGCTGGCAGCAGTCTGTGCTTCTTGTGCCTTTTCAGCACAGCTCTGCCCAAAGCTCCAGCCACAGCTCACACCAGAGGGGAAAGCCCCTCAAGAGCAGCAGAGTTTGCAGGGCCTGTTGACATTTACCTCTCCTCCTGTGGCATTGTTGAGTGCTCTGACCACATGTCCAAAACTCCTAGAAACAAAACAGAAGCAGAGAAAGGAGAAGCTCTTTAGGTCCTAGAGTGAAAGCCAGCCCACACAGGAGATCTCTGCTGGAAGTGTCAAAACCTGCAGAGGATGCAGGAGGGCTCTGCCAGAAGGCAGATGATGCATTTTCCTCTCAAGTGCATGGGCACTGAGCCTGTTCCTGAAGCACTGGGGTTCAACTTCTAAAGGGAGTTTAGTCTTTCCTCTTGGGTTTCACTTTCTAAACTGTGTGATTCCTATTCTGGCAACAGAGACTTTCCTTCTGCAAACCAGGGGAAAGGAATGTTCCTGGCAACTTTTATCTCACAGCTTTGATAGGGGATACCTTGCTCTTTCAGGCAAGCAAGTTACTTCCTTTTTTCATTGGTGTGGCATTATGATTTTAAGACATACAAAAATGCTAAAGAAATGAACACAGAGCATTCCCACTCTTGAGAGACAAGGAGATCTTCCAGGTCCTGTTCTTTGATGCAGGCAAGACCTTGGCAGCATGGAGATGTCACTGACAATGCCTTCTGAGCCCACTCACAAATTCTGAGCAGCACTGAGAGATGGGACAATCTATGCCCAGTGTGTGAACATCTTTGCAGCTTGCCTGACTTCACGCTGGATAGACATTCCACCAGAAAAACACCTGGCCCATGGTTGTGCAGGAGTAACTGCGGTTGGACTCACCCGCTGCCAATTTGTTCCTTTTCAGTGTACTTCTTCACAGGATTATCATTGGGGTTCACCATTCTCCCTGAGGGAAACAAAATGCAAGATGCTGACTTTAAAGCAGAGATCCCAGCTTCCAGGAGATACAAAAGGCAGCCCCACTCTCTGGGGCTCTGAGCCCATTGTGGTCGGCTGTGTAACAACAATCACAACAGCAACAGGACAGGCAGCCCTGCAGTACAGATGGCTGGCACAGAGACTGATTTTGTACAGTCCTTTGAAGAGTTCTCTTGATAGGAAAGAAAGCACAGGGAGATGCATTTCCAGGAGAGGAGGACATCTTCTCCACCTTTCAGCAATTTGCCAAAAGAATGCCTTCCCATTTGTAAACCAGAGCAGCTAGAGCTAATCCCAACGGGCCTTTCAGCATCAGGACCCTCACCTCTTTATGAGCAGGCTGAGCTCAAAGATGCCCCTCTCCCAGCTAAGGATGGCTCCAGCCTCTGTAGTCCCAGCAACCCTCAGGGACAGGGCAGCCAGCACAACAAGGCTGGCAAAGCCCAAGCATGAGCACTGACAGGCACTGATGGGAAGAAGCCAGAGTGAGCCTGAGCCCCTGTACAAGCTGTTGCCCCCATTCAGGACACAAGAGGATGGGCTTTGAGATCAGCCTCACCGAGGCACAGATCAATGCCCTTTTTGTCCCAACAGGTGATGGTAGACACAGAATCCACTGGGCTCTGGTCTCAGCCCCACCAGGTCTTATCTGAGAGCACAGCACTGGCAGCTGTTCCGGGCAAGAAGCAGATTGATTGGGTTGTGCTGCAGAATCACAAAGGACTTGATGTGTTTTCCTAGGGACTGATCTGAGCAGGGCTTGGGCCAATGGCTAGGATTCCAACAGTCATGGGAAAGAGTGGGAATTGGGTATGGAAAAGTGCCATTGATCTGAGGAATAGACCATGGCTGGGCTGGAGGCTCTCTCCTGAGAAATGCATGCAGTAAAGTTTTATCTGATCACACCACTTGGATGTGTCTCTTGGACACATCTTGATAAGCAGAAAAATAGATTAAATAAAGGTTGTTCTAAAAGAATTGTTTTTTTCTTTGGGGGCAAATGGAAAACACCTCGTGCTCTCTATTTGTCCTGTAACGTGATATTCTTTCAAAGTAGTTTTTATTGACAACAATATTGCATTCTCTTATTGACAAAAAATATAGCATTCTCATGAAAATAAACTGCAGATGTAGTAGTGGTAACTGTAACAGTCATAAAAATGTCATCAGTAAGATGTGGGGCAGAAGGGCTCATTCAGGATGGACAACTCCACAAACCATCAACCTTAAAAACCCAAAACACAACAAAAAAAACCCACAGAAACAAAAAAACCAAAAGGCCCCCACAAAAAATAAACAACACATAAACAACCCGCACCCTGCCCCCCCCCCAAAAAAAAAATCCCCAACCAAAAAGACAAAATTCCAAAGCCAGTCCATTTCTGTGAAGTTTTTTTTTGCTCTGATGACTGGTTGGAAGTCAGGAGTCTAAGGAGAATATAGGAAGCTAAAAATTCTGTTCAGTGTGGCCACTAGCACACAGGATTTGCCTAGATCATTTGCTAGGTCACAGCCTTATGCTGATCCAAGAACAATCCTTGCTTCAGCCTTTAGTGGAGAGGGAAGCTCAGGCAAACCCAAGCCAGTCCGAGGTGCCCTCAGAGGCAGCAGGAACACCCAGAGCGCTCTCTCACTGCCTCGGAGCACAGCACTTCCTCTGGGGAGTCCTAAATGGCCCTGTGACACCAAACTCAGGAAGAGCATCTGGTATAGCTCTACTGACACCTGCACACAACACACTGTCCCTCAGGCAAGAAACCCCCCAGACGTACCCAGCATCTCCAGGTACTTCTCCTCAGTCTCCTGGTTTGGAGAGACAAAGGAACTGCCCAAGCTTGAGGTCCCAGGTTTGACTGAAGGGCTTCCTTGAGGTGATGCTGCTGCGGCAGCAGGTTCAGAGCCCATGATGTGCTGCACCTGAAGCATTTCTGGTGGGCACTGTTCCTGTGCCTCATGGAAAACTTGTGGCTCTTCATTGCCAGACATTTGCTGGAAGTCTTCGCAGGCTGCCCGGTGAGACGTCAACACTTGCACCTCAAGTCAAACACAACAAAGCAGTCAGACACTACAGCTTGTCCCTGTCAGCCAGGAGTCATCAACTGTGAGAAAAGACAAAGAACAGATTGACAGAGGATACAGACAGCTTGTTCCAATCCTCCATCTGGGTCACCACGTTCCACTGCAAAAACACCTCAAGAAACAAGGAGAGCAGGAATCAATTTGGATGACTGCTGGCCAAAAGGCCAAAGGACGAGTCCCTCTCTCCATGGCAGCAGTGGAGATTCAGCACACCAGGAAATGTCCTTCAGAGTGACTGTGATACACACTACAGCAGGACAGCACTCAGAGGCATGGCCCCACTCCCTGCTGCTCTGAGTGGAAAGGCAAGAAGGACAGAAACCACCAGCTTGGTCACTGCAGTGACTGCATCCCTCTTTCACTCACTTCTAGAGCCTGAGGGAGGTGATTAGGTTTCTCTCTGAAAATTTTAATTTCTTCCTCCAGCCTCTTCTCCCTTACCTTGTTGCTAGCCTCAGGGTCCTGCAGTTCTGCCTGCATGTGTCCCTTGATAGACTGTAAAGGAGAAGGGAGAGGACATTTCATGAGTGGAGTGGCTGCCACTCTTTCACTCACCTGGTTTTGTTGATCGCTCCTCTGCTGATGGAGATTCTCCTCTTGAATTCTTCCCATGTCTTCCTTATTCTTTGTCTTCACGTCCATGATGTCACTCTGAGCTTCGGGCAGCTCTGCTTGTGGCTCTGCCTTCATCTTCTGTACACACAAATGCAGAGCAAGTGACTGGGAGCTGCCATCAGGCTCAGCTTTTTCCTCTTGCAGCCTTAAAATCACATCTATTCAGCCACTTCTTTCTGCTTTCCTCCCCACATCTGCTTCCAGTGTAAGCCTCCTGTCCCAGGGCTGATCTCTGCAGATTCCAAGGCTCTGTGCTTCCAGTACCTGTGGGACTCCTGGCCTCCTCAGTCCCAAGAGCTCTGGTTTTATGCCCCTCTTCCTGCCCTTCCCTCTGTCCCCTGGCCAGTCAGGCTTACCTGGCCATTCTCCTGTGGCTCTTCCACCTGCTGCCTGAGCTGCTCTTCCTGCTCTCGCGCTGGGAACAGCTCTCCCTGAGTCTGCCATGGCATCTCTGATGAAGCAATCTGCTCCTGCTCTCTCTCTAGAAGCACCTGCACAGAAAGCAAGAGAAGATGGGTTCCAACTTCCCACACGACCTTTGTGGGCCAAGACTCAAAGACTGCTGGGCTCACACGTTCCCAAAGCACTGTGCTGCTGCTCTGCTGGGTCATTCTCTGTTTGAGGAGAGGCACAGATTCCAAAGTGACCCTGGCCCTACAATCAGGGGCCATCTGGGACTGAAGCTCCAACAGCCTCTCAGGCAGCTGACAGGGAAGGTGTGGCATTTCTCAAGAGTCTGCTGAGGGCCTCCCTCTGCTTCTGCCATGTCCTGTTTGTCTTTCAGTAGTGACTGACACCCCACCCTGTCCCACAGCTCCATCCTGGCTCAGCAGCTGGCTTCCTGGGTGAGCTCAGCCCTTGTGAGAGACACTTCTGCAGTTCAAGTTCATTTCAGGCCTGCACCAGCATTCCTGCATACCTGACATCTATACTCTTGTAAGAAATCCTGGTCATTCAGGAGATAAGAATGTGTGCAAAGATCCTCTGATAGATGTCAGAGAAACTCTATGGCCACCTCAGTATATGGAGGAGAACCAAGGTGTTTCTTCTCCCTCTTTTGTCAACTGAGAATTCTAACCAGCATTTTGACCCACGCAGCTCTCCCGCCACAAAGGTGCCCATTTCACTTCAGATACAGCAGGCACCATTGTACGATGGCCTTCCTCTTCTGAGCAACACAAGACAGCTGTCAAGGACTTGCAGTTTCACCCCCACTGCAGGCTCAGAGGCACTTGCCAAAGCTGCAGACTGCAGCAAAAGATGCATCAACAGAAACTGGCCGCTTCTGCTTTTGGCTTCACAAGAAAGCTTCGCGACTCCGCACTTTGTTTCTTTGGCGACGCGGGACAGGAATGGCCCCCCACAGCTGCATGGACAACACAATCATCCCCTTGCAGCTTATCAAAAGCCAAAAGACAGCTGGCCCAAAAGAGACTGTACAAGTGAAGAACTACTCAAGGAAAGTGCTGACCGCTTTCACAAGCCAAACACACCTTTCCAGAAAGGGAAAACAAACAAACCAAGGCCTGGCACCTCCAGCACTCCCTCCTTTGCCCTTGGCCATAGCACTGCAGAAGCCAAGCGATAGAGCTTCCCTGAGCCAAGCAGCCAGATGCTCTCCCAGAGGCACCAGCCCTTTGCTGCCTCAACATGACAGCTCAAAGGCCACGTTCTGCGGTCACTGCCTGCAGGAAGTCCCAAGCTCCTGGCAGGACTCCAGCACCCAGCATCCTCAGCCAGCAACAGCAAGTGCTGGCTGCTCCAAACCTTGCAGCTCTGCCTTGCACTAAAGACAGCACCACACCCAACTGGGACTTACAGCTCCAGAATATCCAGGCTCTGGTGTGACCACTGGAGGCTGGCGGTCATCCACCTCAGTTTGCTCCTCTTTGGCTTCTTCTCCAGGAGCAGCGGGAGCCAGGGGAGAGACGGCTCTTGCTTCTGTCACCTGTGGCAAGAGAGAAGCATGAGGGACAGGCTGTTACCTATCATTTAGAACCTCATGTCTTTTCACATCTACCAGCACATCTTCTAAGGAGAAATCATACATTTTTTTGGTAATGGGATTCTAAGTCACACCAACCTCACCAACCAAATTCAAATGGGCTAATTCAATGGAATTCTATGTAGCTATGAATTCAATATTCCTCCCTGGCTGCTATCAGCAAGCAAGGTTGTCTTGGCAAAAGGGAGCTTTTAGTTCTTGAAAGCACTGAAATGGAAAACTAGGAAAGCGACAGCAACGCCTTTGCTACTGCTGCTGCAGACGTGGAAAACTCAGGCTGAATCAGAATGCCATCCAGGGCTACAAAAGGGCTGGAAACATTGTACAGAAGCATCTTTACTTGCTGGAAAAACAGGAAAATGAACAGGCCTTCTCTTCCTAACAAAACTACGAGCCAACAAACCACAAGATGGAAGTGTCACCCGCTGCAGTGTCTCAAGCCCTTGGATGCAGTGAGGGGATGTTTGGCGGTGAAACAGCCCTTGTGCTGAGCACTGTCACGCAGGGATGGATGGAAGTTTGCCTGAAGGTCCCTCAAGAGCCTCCCACTGTCCAGGCTAAAGCTCCCTCAGCACCTCCTCACTGGCCTTGTGCTGCACCCCCTTGCCCAGCTCCCCTGTCCTTCTGTGCACACGCTGCAGCCCCTCAAGGACTTTCTGCTGCCCAGGGGCCCACAAGTGCACCCAGCACTGCAGCTGTGGCCCCAGCGCTGCCCAGCACAGGGCCACGCTCACTGCCCTGCTCCTGCTGCCCCACTGCTGCTGACACAGGCCACCATGCCCTGGGCCTTCTTGGCCACCTGGCCACAGGCTGCCTCATCTTCAGCTGATCAAGGCCAGCAGCAAGCCTGGCTCCTTTTGGCCCACGCAGCTCCCCAGCCACAAAGGTGCCCATTTCACTTCAGATACAGCAGGCACCATTGCAAGATGGCCTTCCTGTTCTACAATGACATCTTCTAAATAGATATCATAAATTTTGATAGGAACAGTATTCTAAGGCACTCTGACTAAATTAAAATGGTCTAATTCAACTGTAAAGGAAATTGATCCTAAGTAAATATTCCACCCTATCTGTTATCAGCAAGCAAGGTTCTCTCTGCAAAAGTAGGTTTCTAGTTCTTCAAAGCTCCGAGATGGAAATTTAATAATATCCATCTCTGGCTTTGTTATTTTTGTTGCAGGCATGAAAATGGATTTATATTCAGCCTTCCTAGCTCTACATTCTATTGCTACTGGCCAAGCTCTCAGCTTGCTCTACAATTCTTAATCACCAGGAACAGGAAATGTTCCTTTCTCACTCACCTCAGGATCAGCACCTCTGAATACACACCTCAGGTGACCTGTAGTGGGCAGGGGAAATGAACCAGATGCTGTCAGAAAACTGCCTGGGCTGCTGAATCCCACAGAACAAGTCAACCCAAACAGAGGTGATTTCCCATTTCATAACATCCCTCCCAGAGACACATTTGACACATTTCATTCACACAGCCAGCAAGAGACCACGTCAATATTCTTGGTTGTGCCTACACTTTGGCCTGTTGAGCCAGTAAATGGCTACAAACATGACCAAGAGAATGCAAATTGTTCTTTAACACTCAATGCTCCTCTTCTAGAAAACACATAAAACGGCTTTTTAAATCCTCTTCTTCAGGTCTTTTTTTTTTAATCAGTTGCATGCACTAATTCTCATTTACTTGCTGGAAACAGTTGCCCAGAAAAGCTTCCCCAAAATTCCCCTGAGCTGTGGTAGATGCTCACTGCTTTGGCGGTTGTACTTCCTTGCAAAGGGAATCACTATTCAAGCACTTGGTAAAAGGTCAAGTTAGACAGTCAAATCCCTTCATGACAAAATTGAGAAAGAAAGAAGCTTTCCCTGAATTCTGGGAACAACTGCAGAGTTTTTAGAAGGCCTTCAAGAAGGTCTGCCAGGCTACATTTTCCAAGGTGTCTTGCTTGTTCCAGCAAACTGAGGAAATGACAGACTCTGCTGCCACAGACTCTCCCGTGGAGGGAACAGAAGCCCTGCAGGTTGCCTGGCAAATGCTGCCCCTGTGGCTACAGACACCCCCTTTTTAGCTGAACACCTTGACAGGAGCTTGACCAAAGCAGTGGCATCCTAATGCTCTTTCTGTTTCAAAAGCAGAAACTCAGTCACTAAGAAAGAGCAGGAAGACATACAAAAGCCAGGTTAGGTTACACCCTAACCTAAGCAGAAGAGGAAACATCTACTTACGTGCGAAGTGTGTAAGGAAATAGGCACCATACGTAACGCCATACGCGGCGAAAAGGACAGGTGCCAGTCGCTCAATCATTGTGATAGTGGCCTGCAAGTCTGCAGGCTGCGCGCACCCGGTAGAAAAAACGAGGCTCCTGTCAGTGTGCAAGAGGCCACTAACAAAAGCCTTGGCCAGGAGGATTCTCCTGAACTGAGCAAGCGCTAGGGCTGCTCTGACACTCAGGCCTTCCGTGCACCAAGGCACCCTTCTGATGTCACCACAACAATGTGGCAACCATGCCCTGACATCACAAAGCAAACGTTCCATGTTGCTCTGTGAGATTTTGCCAAGCACTAACCAACCTTCCTTACAGCAAACACAAAAGAGCCTGGGAAGTTCTCCTCTGTCACAAAGCAGCACAAATTCCCCTTGTGGGCCAAAGCCTGTCATTCAAGGGATCCAAGAGGAACTCCAAGAGTGCACAAAGCACCTACAGCCTGTACCCCATCTGAGCCTGCACTCAGATGGGACACAAGCAAAGGAAACCAGAGCAAGAAAATGGGCTAAAGCATTGCCCATCTGAGAAACAACCCTTCCTTTAACTTTTTAAAGGTTTATTAAACCTTTAGAAAGGACTGAATAAGGAAAGATTGCAGCACTGGGAGTCTCCATGATTAGCAGCCACATCCTCATTTACAAAAGGGATGCTCTGCCTTTCATACCCTTAGCCCCTGCAAAAGTTTTGTCAGTCAACTCTTTCTCTGCTGTCCATTGGTGGAGATTACTTGCACCTTGATTGGAGGTCAGGGGTTGTTACACCGCTCCTGCTGGTCACAAGCCAGCCCTCTCCAAATGTCCTGACTACCAAGGCGATTACAAGGGGGATAAGAAAGAGGACTATGGGAGGACATATTACAATAACAGCACTTTCCATTTGAACATAATATCTGTCCACATAATAGCTATCTCTTAATTGTGAGAGCCAACTATTACATTACTCACCTATAATGCACAGAACCAGGAGAGAAGGCACTGTTGGCATCACAGCTGAAATCATTCCTAACATATCCCCCCACATGTTTGCACATTTATTGGACATGGCCAGGACTCCTGTGGATGTACATCTCTGCCTTTCTTCCCCTTGGGAAGCAGTCAACCTGGCAACTCGTGGGGAAACCAAGGCATTTGTGGGGGCTGCATTTCTCTGCACACACCCAGGCAACGTGTGGCACAGAACTTTGGTGCCTAAAAAGATCAACCAGAGGAAAACAGCTGGAAAAGCTTTCATTTTGACCTTTCTTACCTGCTAACAGAAGTTGCCAAAATGAAAGTTTCCAAGCAGGGCCTGATCCCTGCTGCCAACTGAGGGTTAGAAAGGAGGCATCACTTTATTTCAGTGCTGGGTGCATAGGGAATCACTTCCCTAAGGCCTGCACAGCCAGCAATCCCACCTACCAGTTTGTATGCATGGAACTAAGACATGTTCAATACTTTGCTGAAACTCCCAAGCTAAACATTACCCCAGATTTCTTGACATATTTCAATCACTTCTCAGAATTTATTGGCATCAGGGTAGGAGTGTCCTGTAGGTCCCTGGTGATCACTGCCACAGGTTCAGGAGGAGACCCGTGCACAAAAGAACCTAAGACGCAACTGAGCTTGCAAAGCAAATTTATTCCATTAATTGCAGTAGCAAATAATACATACCAACCCCTGGATTCCCAAAAAGTCCACTGAGCAGAAGAAGGAGCTAGGGCGAGTGGTGCTCGGCACCTGGGAAGGTAGGCAGTGCACTTCCAGGACATGCCCTGGATCAAAACAGTGTGCATCTCATCCTTCTCACCCTTCCAGCTCAGAACCAGGCCTTGTATCTCCTGCTCAGGAGTGCCATTTTCCCAGTTACAGCATCAGCTCACACATGGCTGACTGTGAGATGATGGCTCAGGATGACTCCATGACTCCCTGCCACCAAGGGCTCCATTATGCACTGTTCCCCTTTCAAAGCTTGACTGCTCACTGATTGACCAATAGATTGTTTCTCTTTCAAGGGTCACCTGTTAAACAAGACACTTTTCTTCATTGTCTTGTCAACCTGCTCAAACATGGATCAAATATGGCAGGGCCTGGGACACGACTCCAGTTCCTGACACAGTCATTTGGGAAATAATCCCATTGCTCAAACTCTCGTTTGGTGGCCAAGAGCCTCCTAAAAACACTTTCTTCCATTTCTTTGTTTTGTTTGTTGTGTTTAATAGCATTCTGCTTGACTGCTGAACATCATTGGACTGAAGTTTGTGTTTACACAGTGAGTTCCTAGGTGTCTGATAATCTAGAATCCCAACTCAACTGCTTTTCTGGTTGCTAAATACAGCTACCATAAAATTGCCTGTGGAATATAATTGTAGCTTTTATTTTCTTAAAGCAGAGCATGTTTGGAAAAACAGAGAGGTACATTTAAGGTACATGAAAATGATCTAGGAACAGGATCAGTTTGCATTAAAAAAAAAAGTATCTAAAATGGGTGGTTTCAAGACTGTATTTCAAAATCAGATGGGATAAGATGGAAGCTATGAATGCAGTTTCTGAAATATTTATTTTCTAAATATCTCTCTAGGAAAAAGAAATAATGCAATTAAGGTTGGAACTTGAGAAAGGAGATGCTCTTTGTCAACATCTGGAGATTGAAATGACATTTGCTAGAAAAGAAGTTAATTTACAGCTGTATTCTGCAGAGGATGAACTGTGTGATGCAAAAACCAAAGTTATGGAACTTCAACGTAAACTTCAAAAAAAAACCCCAAACACAGGCCAGAGGATACATCAGTCCCAAGTCATTAAAAAAAGCAGAGATTGCACAAGGTTTTACAGTGACAGCGTTTTTTGAAAGTCTCTTATTTTCTTATTTGCCCATGTCTTACTCATCTGCTTCTATAAGCTCATAAGAGTTTGCAAAACCCTTGCTGTCTCATACCAATTAAATATAACCTGCTAAACCTATCAATACCTTTTTTTTTCTCTTGCTCCTTACCTTCTGTTATTCCTTCTTTCAGTGGGTACAGAATTGTAATTAAGGAGTCCCTCTCCACTTTCTGCTTATCACTATATCCAGCCGTTCTTCCTTTTTATTTTCAGGGGGGAAAAAATAAAATCAAATCCTGTTTATTTGTTTATGCTCTTTCCAAAAACTTTTTCTTTTCCCCCTGGAGTTCTCATCATGCTGCTTTTCTCTTTTGCCTTTTCAGATATTTCTAGCTTTTTGTTGCTCATATCTGGCCTCTTCATGTCATCTTTGGTGTAGTTTTTATACAAATAACATGGGTTATGACAGTAGTATGTGGAAAGGAAGGGTTTTACCTACATCTTAATCCTTCTCAAACAGAGAGAGACTTCTCACTCTTAAAATCTGGGCAGTTTGGTTTTTTGGTTTTTTTTTTGTTGTTTTTTTTTTTTTTTTTAGTATGTGGAAGGGTTTTACCTACATATTTTTCCCCTAGTAGTTTTGCATTCACAAACTCAAATTTTCTTAATCCTTCTCAAACAGAGAGAGATTTCTCACTCTTAAAAGCTGGGGAGATTTTTTTTCTTTTTTTTTTTTTTGTTACCTAAGTAAATATAATACTGTTTAAATTCAGTACAGGAAATGTATTTGTGACTCTTTGGTGTTCACTGAAAAGACTGGAGGACTCCTGGAGTTTGTAAGCTTACAAGGATGGAAGGAGACTCTGAAACTTGAAAGTGCATTTAAACTGCCAGATTTTTAAAAAAGATAATAAGAATTCTGCACTTTCATTCATTTGGAGAACACACAAATTACAGAAATCTTGGTTGGTTTAAATTTCTCAAACTGGCTTTTTTTGGTTGGCTTTTTTTATTTGTTTTATTCTTTGTTGTTTTGTTTTTCCCTGGTTTGGTTTTGATTGTGACAAATGTCAAAGAATCCAAATAGTTGTAGTGTTCTTCTCATTTCTTTTTCAGTTTTTAACTTACTGCTTCTTCTTCCTTATCCCTTGGAGCCTTGCTCACCTCATGTGGTGTTTTTGATACAACCTCAACTTAACTTCTTGGACAGAGCACCTCACTTGTGCCCTTTCATTAGTATTTTCTCCAAGATATTTTTCTGCTGCTCTTCTTGAGGTTTGGCTTCCTGACATCTGACAGGTCTATTCCATCATTGTGTCCACAAATTCTCTGTGATTTCCCAACATGTCTCTTCTGGTTTTCTCACCCTTCTCCATCTAGGAAGAAATTGCAGAAGAGTAGGATGAATTTGAAGTAAAAATCTCTTAGAAAGTGGTGATCACATAAATGCCAATGCCAAATAGCTAGTTGTACTCAGTAACATAAAAAAATACTACAAAATATTTTGACTGAGTTTGTGAAATGAAGCAAAGTTCCTAGTAAAACTGCTTTTAGAAAAGAACTCTTCCTTGGCATTTAAGCTTTCACAGGGAATTAGATCCAGTATTTCCCTATCTTGGGGCAGCCATTGGGCTGAAGATTTAAATCTCTTGAGCAGCAGTAAATTTCCCCAGAAAAGCTAAGCCTTTGCTCATTAGCCCAACCTGCCTAAGGTTCTCCTAGAATCATTTTCATGTGGCAGGTGTCTGTCTCTATTGTTACTTAAACTGAGCTTGAAATTAATTGATACAGACTGAAATATCTCATAAATATTTGGAAGTAAGCTACCCAAGTGTTACAGAAAAATGTAATTAAGTTATTAAGTTCCCTATGCTATAGAGGCCTCACTTGAAAGAGTTGAATTTTTATTCCTTTCCAAAGGGAGAAGAGCTTAAATTTGAAATCTACCTTTTTGAAATCTAATTTTTTCAATGCTTTTGAGAAATCTCCAAAGCAATTCTATGTCCTTGTGTGAAAGATGCTACAGGAACACAAAATGTGATTGTTTCTCTGTAGTGAAACTGGAAGTCTTTCCATTCCAGTGTTTCACAGGATACCACAATACACAGAGGAACTTATGTTCATTATACTTTCTTTCCTGAAAGTGCTTATTTTTTTTCTTTTTTTTTCTTTTTCTTTCTCTTTTTTTTTTTTTTTTTGT